AATTTTCAAGATAATTTGATGAAATTTGGGCACAAGGACGAAGCCTATTGAAAATGGTTGAAATCGGTCCATTATTTCACATAGCCCCCATACAACCGTACCTCCCGATTTGGGCTTTTTATGCCCTAATTACGTCAAATATGCTATTATCTCTCTAAAAATTGGCACAAATACGTTTTATATAAGTATAAATGACACTGCAGATTTTCGTAATGATCGGCCCTTATTTGACCCTAGCCCCCATACAAACCCCCCTTCAAAAAATGTCTTAAACGTCTAAAATTGACTTGTAACCATTTGTATCGCAATGAAACTCAACATAATTAACTATTATTTAAAAATACATCCTGTTCCCAAATTTAATGAGGATCGGCCCATGTTTTGCCTATACTCCTATATAAAGCCTCATTTAGAAAATTAGTTTTTTATCAATAAATTGCTTAAATACTTTGGAATTAAGGTAAAATTCAACATAAAAGTTTCTTTTGAAAAATAAAAATTTTTAAAATATATTCATGGTGTAGGGTATTATATGGTCGGCCATGCCCGACTATACTTTCCTACTTGTTTTCCCTAAATTGTGGGATTTTGAGGAATTTAATTTATTTGTTTTTTCTTATATTTTATTAATAATATGAAGAATTATGAAATATACTGCTAGTAATTTTATTCAATTGAAATTATTATTAGGCACATTCTCAATGACTATAAAAAATTTGTTTTATTTTGCCATGCACCAACAGATGGCAAATACTTTTTTAAATGTGTAAAAATAAAAAATTATACATAATTTTTATTGCACACATGAGATTTAATGCAAATTATAATTTTTGCAACAAATTGTTAATATTTTTATGGAAAAGTTATAATTTAAAAATCAAATTCACAAATAATTGTGGGCCAACTGCTGTACAACTCTACATCTAAAATTTGGATTTAATAAATCCTATTGTTTAAAAAATTCGTCTAGTATTTTAAGATTATAATAGAATCTATATTAAAAAAGTAAGAGTGTTATATTCGTCTATGCCGAATCTTATATACCCACCATCAAACCGTATGCCGTAAAATAAATGCTCCCCTATAAACATCAGGGTGATATTTGGAATAGGATTTACGTCAATTATGGACCGAAATCTTTCATATTAACAAAATATTCATTTTTAAAAACGAAATAATTTTGTCCAATTTTTAACACATGAACATATCTATATACATACATATGTATATGGACGGTAAGGTTAGATAGTCCTGACATTTGATAAAACCATTTGTTTTGAATTTCATCGCTGTACTTGTTTATAGTGCCCGACCCGGGTACGGGTTCGGAGTTCGGTAAAAAGTGAGGTTCATTGACCGGAACTTTTTATAAAATGTTTTTTTATTATATTTTTATATAATCAAAAAGTTTTAAAAATGCTAAAAATCTGTTTACAGGAGTTATCATACTTCCTGGCAGTACAATAAATTTCGGATATACATAGGTACAAAACGCCTTTTTAACCGTTCGTTTTTTCGGCTGATTTGAAAAACTGTTAACCAGAAACTGATTAAAAAGCTAAGAAAAGTAAAACATTTAATTTGAATTATCTAGTTTCGATTATAAATCTTTGATTTCATTTGTAACATCGAAATTTTCTAGGTTCTTATTCTCAAACGATCTAGACATGTCTGTCAGTCAGTCAGTCAGTCTGTCAGTCTCTTGAAAGAACGGTAGGATCTAAACTATTGTTGCAGTTTGATTGGTATTCAAAATGGACAAAATCGGTTTACATTTGGACATGGCCTCCATATAATGTTCGCTTTAGAAAATTACTAACGTTCATAACAGGCTTAAAAATGCTAGTATTTTTATGAAATTATACTTACATTTTTTTATGAACCAAAATTTCATATAAATTGGCAAATTGAAATTTGCGAATTGTGTTAAGTATTGTATATATATATTTTATTTTTTTAAAAACTTATTTTACTGATTCGATAAAATTCATTTTGACTTCGATACATATTTAAAACGAAATTTTGATCACATTGGATCATAATATCATGTATAACAATATTTTGATAAATACAAAAATATCATGATGAAATATTTTGACGGTATTTAATCATATGATATTTTAAAATAACGATAATATGTTTAGACTACAATCATAATATGTTGCTCTTAGAACATGATTATCACAACCATGTTTTTTCTCAGCGAGCTCTTACAGATAATTATATCATTGTCAATAAATCGTTTAAAAACCAAAAATAAAAAAGTATTATTTTTCATTTAAAAAAAGTTCGTGTTCACCGAACTTTGAAAACCGAAAAAAGTTCGGGTTCGGCCGAACTTTAAAATTTACCGAAGTTCGGGTTCGGTGTTCGGTACCGAACGAAATTTTGAGTTCGGTCGGACTCTACTTGTTTATATCGAATTTTCGTATTTTTGAAGAAGGATTATTCGTATTTCAAATAAGTAAAACCCTTTCCTGAAGGATACCTACCTAATATAGGGGATATGGTCAGTTATAGATAAATCCTAATTAATTTCGGAATGAGGAATTATATTCCCATAAAACTTTGTATGTCGATTTTCATCACCATACTCTGAAGGTGGTTTTATATTAGAGTGATTCAAGCTTGTATGAACGAAAAACATTTTATCTGACAGGCCGTCCCCCCTCTAGAATTGTTCTCTGGGTTGTAAAACTATGACATACACAAAATTAGGCTGATAGGATAACGTTAACAGATGCCGTAACGGCTCTGAAGTTTCCAAGTGCATTTACAAGGGGAAAATATCGATATTTTTAATTTTTTGCTCAAATTTGGCCATTTAGTAATAAATTTTGAACTTTATTGTAAAGGAATCGTAATATGCACAGAGTAAGCATTTCGGAAAGATATAAAACACAAAAATTGCTTGAAATCTTTAAAAGTTATTGCGAATTCCCCAGGCCATTAACGTGTCTCACAGCACATGAATTCGAAATGTGACAAAAATATAATTTTGTTGGGATATATTCTAAAAAAACATTTTGTTCTTTAAAATACTTATATCTATAATTACTCGAATATTAGTTTTTGTCCTTATGAGATAACGCAAACCTGTTCTCAGCTATGGTCAAAAAGGTATGATTTATTCAACGGCCGTTTCAAATCTCCAATTTCAGTTTTTTTGAAACTTTGTTAAACAAATTACAACATTTTTAGGAGATCTCATGTACATTTATAGACAATAGATAAGGCTATTAAACGGTAAAAAAATTAGATCAATATTTCTTACAGTTTAGCTGCACCTGCGATTTGAACTCGGCGGATTTCGGGAAAATCGAATTTTTTGGTAATATTTTAGAGAATACGTATTAATTCTTTACTAATGTACATTTTAAATAAAGTATTTTCAGACTATTATTGTCCAGATAATATAAAATATATATCCCAAGTTTTATTAAAATCGGACATTCTTAACCCATAAACTGTGGAGTTCAAAGGTAAAATTTTGCAATATTAGGGAATTCTTAGTGTACCATATCGAAATAATATTTATTTGTCGGCCATATTTACCAAAAATGACTGGAATTTATCGTTTATAGTCCGATATTTAAAATATAGTGAAAAAAAAATGGTAGATTAACCCCTTAAGGCACCTGGGAACAATTTAACACCAAAGTTCAAAAATTCGAAAAAATACTATCTATTTGAATAATGCTCTATATAATTAGAGGAATAAGAGAAATAAAACAAAAAATTATATATTAACCCCCTTATTCACAAGCAACATTTTTATTTTATAAAAGGTTTATAAAACAAAATTTCCACACAAAATCTAATTTATAAACTGTTTATAAAATAAAAATTTTGTTTGTGAATAAGGGGGTAAGTATAAGAACTTATGAATTAACCCTTTGTTTAAAGCCAGTAATGAGATTTAAAGTAATTTTCTGAAGGAGACATATTGGCAGTGTTGCTGCATATGGGAGATAGCGCCAATTTTATATTGATCCTCACAAAATTTGGTAGAGAGCTTTTAGCTCGTAAGGAATTTATTTTAAGCCAGTAATGAGCGTTAAAGTCATTTTCTGAAGGGTATCTTATATGGGTGTAGGGTCAGTTATGGACCGATCCTCATAAATTTTGGTCTTTATCGTGTTTTCAACAGACAGACGGACATGGCTAGATCGTCTTAGAAATAATAAGGACCCAGAATATACTTATATACTTTTGTGGGTCTATGACCAATATTTCGACGTGTTACAAACGGAATGATAAAATCAATATACCCCCATTAGACAAAAAGGGATTTTTGTCTAATGTTCAGAAACTCAATTCCTGAAAGTTGTTCCTTACATTTTCCAGTTTTTTTGAGGGATGGAATATAATGACATAACTTTTACAACCACCGTCAAAAAAAATGGAGATAACATCGGAATCATTTAACATTTTCAAAATTTGCACATTAATCTTCAAAGGGCAGATATGTAGTTTTTATTAATGAAGAAAAGTAATTAAAAAATAAAAGTAAGTTTTAACTCTAGATTTCTTTAAGATTATGATTCTTCATATAAAAATCTCTAATTACGATAAAGTATATACCCAGTTCAGTACTTCAATAATAAATGTTTGTCATGTTAAACAGATCTACATTTACAATATTATTGTTTTCCACAGAATTTTGCGAATTTTTTGCTACTTACTCAATATGAAGAGCCATTTAATATTCTTAGTTAAGAAATTTTTCTATTGTCTATCTATCATTACAAATATTATATTTATTTTTTTCCAAGAATATTAATCTTTTACATTCATTTTTAAAATATTATCAAGTCGAATAAAAAAGGTAAATGACATGGTCCAGGGTTAAAACATGCTTGTATACATTAAGGTATTGATTTACAAAAATGTTTTTTATTTAGCTTTTAGAAGACTAATGATTTAAAAGAAAATACTTACACAATATGATGAGTAAAAAATATTTATAATATGTAACCTATATTTATTTTCTCCTACAGATTCCCGCCATTAATCGCAATCAATTGGAGGAGGGCTTTCTAAGAAAGTTGAATATAAAATGTAGTCAAAGAGATAATCACTCATGTATGATGTTGAAATTAATTGTATATATGAATCGAATATTTAAAAAGTCATCTATAGAAGTGAATAAGAAAGTAACAGTAACACAAAACCGGTAAGTTGTGATTTAGAAAAGAAAATGTGTTAATATTTTAAATGCTTATTCAAATTTTAGCGATATTGATGACATACCCAATGACCCGGATGACGATATATTATTGGCCCGTTCCATAGATTCAGATGATGAAACCTTGGGTCTAATAGTGGCTAATAAACTGTGGAAATTTATTAGATCACGCACGTTACGCTATAAATTTAGTGATAATGCTGATTTTGTTGTGAATACCGAGCCAAAAGGTAATTTAAATTTTGGTGTTTCCATTAGTCCGGTGGAGGCCTTGGAAGAGGGTCGTGGTAAAATGAAAAATTTGGCTCCGATTTTATTACTAATGGCCGGCAAGGCAGGTCTAGTGGGTGCCATACTACTTAAGGGTCTCTTCCTGTTGGCCGGTAAGGCATTAATTGTTTCCAAAATAGCTTTACTACTGTCGGTGATAATTGCCTTGAAAAAGCTGTTGTCACAGAAAAAACACGTTGTAGAGGTGCCGCATCATGATAGCTATTCCAGCAGTGGTTGGGCTCGTGCCTTAGATGGTTTTATTGAGGGCATGGCCGAGGTGCCGGCAAAAATATTAGCCGAAGAGGCTCATGATATGGCGTTTAATGGTCAGAAACCGGATGAATCATAAAACTAATTTAAATGTTATGGTGTAGATATAAAGTAACATTTTTCTTTTCTTTCTTTTTTAATTTTATCTCTTTATTTTATTAATATAATATTTGTGTACTTTTTATATATTTTTTAGAGTCTTTAATATAAGGTCTTTGGGTTTATTTATTGTTTTTAATAATTTATTTATTTATTGTTATTTTTTCTTTGTTATTGTTGTTATTTTTTTTTTTTTGTTGATCATGTATTTATGTTTAAAATGCTAATTTTCTTTTAACTACAGAACTAATAAAACTCTCGTGATTGATTTTTAAGTAGCGAACTAATCGCTTTTCAAACTTTATTGGTGTAAATAAGACTCTTTCGTGATCGAATGCCTTTTAAGAAGGATTGAGAAAAGAAAGAAAGAAAGTTAAATCCTAAAGTCTTACATTTATGAACTGTTTTAATTTGAAATTATTTTCAATTTGAGTTCAAATCTTTCCGTTTTATAGGGTCCAAGAGAAAAAGTTTTAGCTTTAAATTTTTACTCGAAAACTAAATGTTTACAATGAACGGTTCAGATTTGAAATTTACTTTCTCAGTGAAATCAGAATAGGCACAATGTATGCTTAGATGAGGCAAAGAAAAGAGATAATATACAAGGAGCAACCATAGGCAATCGGGTGTAAAATGCATTCGGTAATACAATTGTTTATAACGATTTCAATCTTCTCTTCGTAAATATGAGAGCTTTGACTTACAAAGTTTCAGAACATGTATAATAAATAATTTAATTTCTTTTACATTTGAAAAAATAAAATCCGATAAAATTTTTCTAATCTGATCAAATCAATATAAAAAAACCAAAACCTCTTAGTTTTATACTCCTATTACAAAAAATGTCTACAATAATCATGATATTCGGTACTACTCTTTAAAGAAATCTTCTTCAGCTTTTCAACACTTAAGCAAAAAGGGAAGTATTAGCTCTCAAATAAGAAAATTATTCGGATTACTTTCTTGGGTCAATTTATACCATAACACACACTTTCCATTAATTAAATACAATAGTATACGAAACTATTCCATTGTTAAGCAAATTATTTCAAAATAAAACTATTTTTTCTACTCTGAACTTTATTGTTCGTTATTTATTTTAAAATATTAATTATTTCTTTCAAAGGTTAAGGTTCTTAAACATTCTATAATATTTTTCAATTGTTTATTTTGTTTTACCAAAAATTTATCCTCTATTTATTTACTTATTTAATTAAACAAATGTATAAAAAAAATCAAATAAAAAATATGAAAAATATAAGAAAAAATTATATAATTTATGAATTTATTTAGTTTGTAATAATTTATTTATTTATTTATTTTACTAATATATTTATGTATTGATTACTTAAAACAAATATTGTTCTAAAAAATAATAAAGAATAATTAAAAATATTTTTTACAGAAAAAAAATCTTGTTTTAGCTTTATTTTAGCTTTTAAATGTTTTGTTGTTAAAGAATTAACTTTTAATTAATTTAATTAATAATAATTCTTCGTATTGATTTTTATAATTAATATTTTTTTTGTTATTTTTTAGCATTTTATGCTGGTTTAAAATTTTTTTATGTTTGTTATTATATAAAACTACAAAAAACCTACTTGTTTTTTTAACAAAATAAAAACTTTTTGTTATGTGTGTGTTTGCTAAAGCTAAAAAATATTAAAATAAAATTAATCTGTATTTTTTTTGCTATTTTTTTATAATTTAAAAAATGACTAAATATTTTATTAATATAAATTTAAATAATTAAATTTAATGAACTTAACAGCAACTAAATATTCTAAATATTTTCCATTAATTTTATGTCATTCAATGTCCTGGTTGATAATGTTATTTATGCCTTCCTTTTAAATTGTTGTGTTTAAATATTACTCTTTTTACTGTCTATAATATGCAGCATGTGGATTTAAATAGTTGTAAACCATTGGCCTTCGTGCCACATTTCCAGCTATAAAATTGTTTAAAATATTTTAAAACATATTCAAAATTCTAGGAAGGGTGTTGAATAGTAGTGGAAGTGCTGCTTTAGTATCAATGAGTGGCTTTGAATAATAATTGAAAAATTGCAATAATAAAGTTGTAATACAATTAGCGACTAGCGATATATGTAGTATATCGGGTGCAGTGCAATAAAATGTTTATATATACATCCCAGCAAAACCTTACATTGAAAAGTAAGGAGTTAAAATGTTTAAATTTACCAACACAAAAGCATTTTCGTTATTTTAACACTTGGGTGACATTGGAGGCAAGTATATATCACGAACGCTTACAAATAGGGAGTAAAGTAAGTAGTTTTGTTTCTCAGATAAAAAAAAACATTTTTTTTCGCTTGTGTTAAAAAGAAAGTTTTGGAACTTATGAAAAGTAAGTACTTACATAATAAATTATTTGTAAGTTATTACTAGACTCATTCTATGTAATGCAGACGGTATGTAGTAGTAATTGAAAAGTAAGTTGTTGAGTAAGTATATGTTATTACCAGGGAAACCGAAAATATGCTCTAAAAAAAGTATTTTAAGCGCTTAAAATATGCCGTAAAAAACTCAAAATATGCTCTAAAAATTTAAAAAATATGCTCTAAAAATAAAATTTTTAATTATTTTTTAACATTGAAAGCGCAAAAAACCTGAAATTATAATGAAATAATAAATATTTAATGTCATATTTCATCCTACAAGATTTTTTTATAATTGATTCATCTCATAGTTTGAAGAACTAGTTTAATAGAATTCCGTTTAACGTTCAGATAACCAATAAATAACATGAAACCATTTGGTCCCTAAAAAAAATATATATTTCAAACGACAAAGTTTGACACATTTCTTCCAATGGTATTCATAGCTTCTAAACTGACATTTTAATCGGTGTTGTCATAAAATCCACTAATTATCATTACTAGTTTTTTAAACGATAAAAATGGATTGGTCTCATGAAATCCAAAGTAATCGGTTTTATGTCCGATTTAAAATTTAATGCTTTATTGAATAAAAACTATTATGTTGGTTTTCATGAGACTAATGTATTTTATGCTGTTTTCAAGTTCTGCAAACGAAAATAATTTTTTTCATAATTGTAAAATAGTCTAAAAGATTAAGCCCCTTAATCACAAACAACATTTTTATTTTATAAAAGGTTTATAAAACAAAATTTCTATACAAAATCTAATTTATAAACCGTTTATAAAATAAAAATTTTGTTTGTGAATAAGGGGGTAAAAATAAAAAAAATAAAATTTGATTTTTTTTTATTTTTTCTAAAAATAAAATTTTGAAAAGAAAATTAAAAATGTACAAAAATGAAAAAACAGCGAAAAACATTAAAATATGCACTAAAAGAGTATAATATGCTCTAAAAACTCGAAAATATGCCTTAAATATGCTACAAAGGTCAAATCATGCTCTTATGGGTAAAATATGCAAAAATATGCTCAAACAAATCGATGCCAAAATTCTTAAATTGGTCTGAAACGTGTAAATATCTTATCCATGAGTCCATACGACGCACCACTAAAAACATGCATTTGCATATTTTGGTTTCCCTGGTTATTACAATGTTTTTGCTGGGATTTAGCACAAAATTAATGATCTTAATTTTTAATTTTATAATTTTTTGACAATAGAATTACAGGAATTTGTGTTTTAGTATGTGATAAAAGGGACATGCTATGTATCGTTGCAATATTTTTAATTAATATGTTGATTTTATTTTTATATTTTTGTTAATATTGCTTTGTTGAGGTTAGTACAATCGTATTTGAAAATTAGTTTTGTTTCTTAAGGTACATTCAGAGCTATGCAATGTTAAACGTAAATCACGTGACCCCTAATAGTTTTACATCATTGATGTTATATCTTTAAAAAGTTTGTATTATTATGTTTCGACGCAATTTGAATTACCAAAATTACAATTGGTCGGTTGGGCTATTAACGGTTGTATGGGGACTAAGCGAAATAATGGACCGATTTTAATAATTTTCAATAGGCCTCGTACTTGGATTGAAAAAAGAGTATGAGTATCTCGAAAATTGCGACCTGTAGCGTGCGCACAAGGTTTACGTGGACACACATACGGACGAACGGATAGATAGCTTAATCGACTCAGAAAGTGATTCTAAACATATGGTACAGAGATTTATGTTTTTATACAGGCCTGTCACAGAATTCCATTCCGATCGAAAGTGGAATTATTTTCGCTTCTGATCGGAAATACACCTAGGCCACTATCGGGCCTGTTGTGCGCTCCAATTCAAGAAAGAAAAAAAAAATTGTTCACTGAATGTATTATTTTTCCATGTTCAGAAACTCAGTTTCCTGGACGTAATTCCTAAGAATCTTCCAATCGGTGTTGGTTAAGAATGTTATTTCCGGAATAACATCACTTCCAAGATACTTGGATCTAACTTCGACGAATGCCTGACAATGGCAAAGAAAGTGATCCAGAGTTTCACTGTCCTCTCCACATGCTCTACATTCGTCTGAATCCGCACGTCCAATTTTGTATAGGTGTGCTCGTAATTCTGTGTGTCCACTCAGAATACGTACCAAAGAATAATATACGTACCATCATACTAACCTCAGACTTGCTCATTTTGAGAAGATTTCTCGTCTTGCTCTCATCAGGGTCACCCCACAGAATCTTTGTGGTTCTACCCACCGTTTCATTATTCCAAGAGGCCTTATGGGATTCTCTCATCCATATTTTTAATTCAGCTTTTGTTGCGTCGAATGGTTTTGCGTTTGTCAGGTTAACTACATCGAGCTCCCTCCCTTTTAGAGCTATTACATTCGCCCTTTCGTTGCCGACTACTCCCGAGTGGCCTGGTACCCATATGATGTGAACCTTACCTCTGGGAGAGTATTCAGTTAAAGCTTTCTTACAATCCAATACGGTCTTAGATTTAATTCTATCACCTGATATCGCACAAATTGCCTTCTGGCTGTCGGTAAATATATTAAGCCCTGTGGGCGCCATATTTATTCTAATCCAATTTACACATTCCGTTATTGCTCGTACTTCTGCCTGGAAGCTTGTGTTATGATTAGGTAAACTTACTTATTTATACTATTTACTAAATTATTGATTTGAGAAACATTTTCAATACGCAATATTTATATGTATGTATGTAGTGAATTTCATTAAAAGATGAAAAAATCCAAAAATTGCTGTTCACTATTCGTTTTGTTAATAATTCTCCGAACAGTTAAAATATTGAAAATAAACACTACAAATACAAAAATTCTTAAAAAAATTATCACAGTTGTTTCATTTCACGTGCAACTCTATGTGCTTTAATTTAAAACTTAAACTAAAAATAAAAGTGAACTACTTCCTCTTTTTACGTATTTCCATACCCAAAAATTGCAATGTTTCTCTAATACTTTCTTCGCTATTAAAAATTTTATCCTCTTCTTCATCCTCGTCGTCGTCGTTGTCTTCACCAAAGAAATCCGATTTAAATTTTAGACGCTTTTCATTTTCCTCCACCACCACCTCAGCAGCTGCTACTGCTGCCACTGTGATAAAATCATCATAAGATTTTAACTCATTTAAATAGATTTTTTGTTTTGCTATACTATATGGAGGTAAATTTTTGTGCGATAATTGTGCAGTAGTAGGTGCAATGTGCTTAAGGGGTTCTGACAAAGTGCAATTAAAAAGTGAGTGTGAGTTATAACAATTTGAAATTGATAACAAATTGATATGGTGTTATTTAATACATACTTCTGGCCAGCCAGGAGTCTTCACGTTTAACTTTTTGACCTAAGCCCACTGCATTTAACGCTGCCAGCACCTGTGTGTTATTTTGAATATCCGCTATATTTTGATGAATCGTACTTTCGGCTGTTAAATGCTCATAGCCCGGATGTCCCTGATGTGCCTGCATGGGTGCTACAGCCGAATGCATGGGCATACCGCCACCATACATGTCTGCTGCAGCAGCCATATCAGGAGGAGCTCCAGCCATTGAATGCATGCCGTAATCCATGCTATAAGGCATCATATAAGGCGATTGTTCCGGATATTGATACATCATTCTGAAATTATGGGTTTTTGTCATATTGACCAACAAAAGTTCTGTTATTGAAAATATATATATTTCTCTTACTTTTCCGATGCATTTTCCATAAGTTTTTTCATTAGAACCATAGCGGCCACCACAAATGCTATCTTCGATATGGCCAGGGCCTTGAGTGTTAATAATCCAACCGCTTTGGCTGCCACCATAGTCCAACCAAACGTAGTAGCAGCCAAATACATGGGTATATACATTTGCATTTGTTTCTTATCATCCTTATCCTTGTTCTCCTTAATGCGTTGTATAATACCATGCCCATGGCCTCCACCTCCTCCTCCGCCTCCACCACTTAATAGACCGCCACTATCGCCACCTCCACCACCCAGACGAGCTAAAGATTATATTAAGTTTCATATCACTCATACGTTGTATCATTAATAATAAAAACTACGCAATTCATTTGTGTTCTAGTTGGCTTTTGTACATTCATGTATGTATGTAGGATCTTAATTGTGATTGATGTTTAATCTATGTGAAACATGTCTTAATATACGACACAAAATCATAAATCTTTTGTTGAATGTTCAAGGATTGAATAAATTGATGAACAATTTCATTATTATTACTTCCAATTAAGTGTAAGTTTAGCCCTCAACTTTACGACCCATATCAACTAATATGCAAACTTGAAAATTTACACAGAATTTAGTATCAACTGCAATTTAGTACACTTTCATTGTCAAGAACGAGAATGTTATTTTCGATTTGAGAGTAAGGCTCAATAGCATTTTAAATAGAGAATTTTTAGAGCAAAAAATTTAATTTCCAGGGACAGACATTTCAGTTTGCTAAATACGACTGTGGATGTTTTGCTCTGAAATCTCTCAGTTAATAAATACGTCAACTTAATTTTTAAACTTTCCGAAAGCATAAATTTATAACAAAGATTTTAAGGTACATTTAGCACTGTTGCATTTAAACGATTTTAGCTTTCAAAGTTTTTAAAATCTAATCAATTTTTATACCATGAAAATATGTTAGGTTATAATAGGACTTCCTCCAATGATAAACCTACTATTCCTATCATATCCCTTGTATTTCTTAGAAATTATATCAGCTATAAACCAGGCTGACGATGACCATACACAACCCTCAGACTGAAAGGCTAGTACTAGCACATATAAGTAGCCTACCGGGGAATTTTTTTTACCAAAAAATTAAAAGAATATTTTAAAACATAACAATGTTTAAGCCATTTTCTGAAGGAAACATTTTATAGGGGTTAGGTTAAAATGAAGCCCGATTTTTATAAAAGTCAGTAGAATAATACAGAGTTAGTTATTTTGTTAGAGATATTAGTATATTTAACATAGGGTTCGGTTGTATGGGTGGTAGCTGAAACAATGGACCGATTTCAACGATTTTCAATAGACTTCGTCCTTGGCGAATGTGGCAAATTTCAATATTTTATCTTGAAAGTTGCGACATGTACCTGACGCACAAATATTACAGTACAACAGAGTTATAACTAAAATTTGGTCCTATCACTAGTAGAGTTTGAATAACGAAATCCTTATTGTCTTCTTTTTTAACACTCGGGAAAAAGTGATATACTTTTTCGACGTACTCTTTTATACTCTATGTGGAATGGATAGGGCCGATTTGAAATTTTCAAAAGCCAGCCGGACGAACTGGTTTTAATCGATTCAGAAAATGTTTATAAGCCGATTGGTATACATTAGGTATAGGACTAAGGCCGCGTTTAGCAATGCTCCCTAAGGGAAGAAATTATACTTCAAATTTGAAAAATTTATGATTTTCAATCCTTGAGTAAAATTTCTTCCCTTAGTGTGAACTATAAAACCGGGTCTAACCCCAATATATCCTCAACGCTAATATTGATTAGGGTATAATAAGTAAGAGTGTTCTGTTAATTGGCTTCTTATATAGTCAACATCTAAACAGGCCTTTTATAGGGCGTGGGACAATTATGAACCGAACACTACAGAATATGAGCAGTGATATGTGAGAGGAACCAATTATGGACCGAAACTTGATGGAGAAAAGTTGATTCCTCCCTAAATAGGAAAATAACATTTTCAGTACAATTACTGGGTACTACAAGCTAAGTTGTTCAAAATTTTATCACGATTGCGGTATTTATATTAATGACGATTTAAATTTTATTTTGGGGTACATTTATAAGTATGTAGACTAGTTGATAATATGTATGTATATGTGGAAATATTCAGTCTTCTAGCAACTCCATCTGGCAAACAATCATACGTAAGTAGATCTTAAATCCCAGTGTTATTTTGTTATTTTCCACATTTTGTTTTTTATTCTTTGCGACTGTATACTTATGTCCCAAATGTAAAATTCCGTCTTTGACTCTAGACTTATACTCTAACTTACAGAAATGGATTCTGGAAAAATTTAGGGCGATAGAATCACGTTAACTGGTGGCACCACGGATCTTAAAGGGAAAACGATTTTTGCAAAAATTTTATTATAAACGTTATATTTTAAAAAATATAGAAAATATCCATGTGATGCTTGGACAATAAATAAGGATAAAAATGGTAAAAATATTAGGTCAATATCTCTTAGAGATTAACGGTACCTGCGATTTGAATTTTGATGATTTCGAAAAAAATAAATTTTTTACCAAAATTTTTTGAAAATAATTTTTTACATTTCTGCATTTTGTATAAGATCTTTTAGATAATAGAAAATATGTATTTTAAGTTTTAATATTACCGAACAATGTTAACCCATAAACTGAGTGGGGCAATATTGGGAAATGAAGCATTAATGAAATTGTATTTAGTTTTCAACTGATTTAAATGAAACTTAAGAAAAATATGTTATAAAGATACTTATTTAAAATGACATCGAAAAAATAGAAATTAACCCTTAAACGTAAATATATTTTCATAATTATATGAAATGTCAGTAATATATGAACTAAATATTCAATTCAAAACTGTGAGTGATAAATAAAAACCGATACAAGATTCGGTTTCAGCAACTAAATGAAATTTAGTCAAATTGGTTTTAAAAACCTTCATTTCGTTGGCCTGTGCCATTAATATAAAAATTAATACATTTCTTTGAAGATTATTATTTCCCACTTTATACAAAAGTGAACAACAATCTTTTATGACGTCTACAAAATAAATTGTAGGAATTTAGCTATCATTTATCACTTTATCGAAATTGACGTAAATTACATAAATGTCTTAATAAAATCCTATAGAATTTATTTGAATTAAGTGATTAATAAAGGCAAATAAATGCTTAAAAATAATAGATTCGTTTCCTAACAAATGTTAACATTGTATAAATACTTAAATTTACAAATCTCTCAAATTAAGAAAAATATTCGTTGGAAAAATTTACAAACATTTTAAGTCAGATAAATGTATTTTGGTGTTTCATTAAAAAAAATACTAAAATTGTTAGCAAATTTACATCTTTTAAATCCACACAGAAATAAATTTAAAAACAATTGATATATTTACAATGTACATATTTTAAAGAAAAAGTTTTCGCCTGTAATTTTCAACATCAACTCAAGAACATCATTATTTCCTTTCTGATATAGTGACGTAGAGTGTTAATAAATTATTTAAGAGAATTACTCTGTAAAACACTTTAATAATTTTGCATTATTTTTAATACCAATACTAAAAAAATAACTATCTTCTATAATGTTTCTTTTTGCTTTTGTGAAATTATAAGTTATCCTCAACGAAGGACCCAATATTTGATATGTGTAACTGATAGCCTATTAATGTTGATGTCAATATTCATATATAGAAATAGAAAATTAGTATACTTTATATTCATAAAAACATATTGCAGCTATGTAGATTAGACCGACTCACAAAAAATAAAATGTGATTTCATAATAAAGCATCGGTCTCGCCCGACTATAATTTCTTACTTGTTAAAATCTGTCCAGATTACGAATAACCCTCTTAAAAAGTTCTTAATAAAAATTAAAAAAAAGTTCCACCTTTTTTTGGAAAACGGTCTAGTTTGCAACAAATTTTCATACAAAATTTGTATTATGAACCTCTGATAAATTGTTATGAATAAGGCCCTAAAGCTTTAAATAATTTTGTGGACATTTAAGTCATATTTTGAAGGGGGCTTTGTATAGGGGCTAGGATCAAATGAGGCCCTATCATTATAAAATTCATTAGGGTCATCAAGGCTAGTATAGAACTTGGTTTTACAGCATTTTCATATCTCGAGTATATTAAACATAATTATGAACTTAAAGGCCCTATTCGGGGGATTCAGTTGTATGGGGGCTAAGTGAAATAATGGACCGATGTTTACCATTTCCCTACTAAAGTGGTAAAAGTGTAATTTTTATCCGGAATAATACACTCTTTTACATCTTTAATTCAAACTTGTTTTGTAATATGATGATTTCCAAAATCTTTTGAGGTCTGTTCGTGATCTGAACCGATTTCAAAAAATCTAATTTTTTTCTAATGAGAACACAATTTCTCATGTGTAATTCATAGTTCTAGGCTGCATTAAATAATCTTTGTTTTGTGATTACCGATTTGCTGGAACGATTTTAAAAAATTTATATTTTAATTATTTTTTGAAAATTTAGATTTCTTTTTTAAAAAATATATAATGTGCGATATCATTTGAAATGGATTTCGAAAACGGCTCTAATGTTCTAAATGGTTTTTATACAAAATACCTTAAAAATTTAAGATTTTTTGGAATATGACAAAGGATTATTGAATTATTGAATATATTGTTTTAAAAAGTATTAAAATTTAAAAAAAAAAATACCTTCATCACGATTTTGTTATCCTTACAGAGTGAGCCGGTATAATACTTATATGAATATACATACATATGTATATAGATACATATGTATGTACATACAATATTTGTTTGTTCTGGTGAATAACTTTATTGTAAAGAAAAATGTAGAAAAACCGAAAAAAACAATATTGGAAAATATGTATGTACATGTATTCTGTCTAGTATAAAGGTGACATATGTATATTTTAAGCTAGATATATTTATATATTACATACGTCATTATTTTATACAGTCGAGTGAATATAATGTCACAATCATCATCATTATTTGTTCATGGCATGAACATTGTATAAAAAATGCTTATTTGTAGATTTTTTTCACACACTCCCACAATCATTCGTAGTGTAAAATTAACCTGCAGTTCGGAGTTCTAGGGTGTGCTTTCCGATGTATATTTTTTGTCCGGAAACGTCACAGATCTAGTACTGTGTCTAGTTTGGAGGTAGTTACCAGTTTTTATACCCTACACCACTTTAGTGGGGAGGGTATATTGGGTTTGTGCTGATGTTTGTAACAATAATATTGGTCCTA